TTTCTCCATTTTCCAATATAGGAATAAAATCATCCAGCATTTCTTTCTCCCTCTGACTTATTTCTCTTAACTCCCTCAGTTCCATTTATGTTGTAGCAAATGTCAAGATTTCATCTTTTTTAATAACCGAGTAGTATTCCATTGTGTACATACTTCATATCATCTCAATCTGCTTATTTTATATAATTCTTACACATCATTTTTCATTTTTGCACAATGTATGCATTATCATTTTGGTTATGTTCCCATACAATTGCTCCACCCCTTATTTTGACCCTAATCCTTCCTTTCCCCTCTCTCCCTGTAGTGTGTCTCTGGTTTATAGTTGCTTGTTGATTTTGATTTTTACTTTGTATAAATTAGTCTTTTTCCTGGTCCCTTATTTAGGTTTTCTAAATTCTTGCTATGAGTGAGATCATCCGGTATTTTTCTTTTTCTTTCTGACTTATTTTGCTGAGCATGATCCCTTCTAGCTCCATCCATGTGGCTGCCATTTTGTATATGTACCACATCTTCTTGATCTTCTCATCTGTTTTTGGGCATTTGGGTTGTTTTCCATAGCTTAGCTATTGTAAATAGTGCTGCTATAAAGATAGGGGTGCAGGTGCCCTTTGGAATTAATGTTTCTGTGTCATTTGGGTAAATATCTAGGAGTGGAATTGCTGAATCATATGGAAGCTTTATCTTTAGTAGGTCAAGAAATCTCCACACAGCTCTCCATAGTACATACCACTAAGTTTTCCTCTAAATTTTATTTTTTAATACATAACTTTAAGGTGACCAAAAAAAGGACTTTGCTATATGTCTATATAAGGAGTCTGTAATTACTCATTTAATATACTGAAGCCTTCTTCAAGATCTTTACAAGTTTCAGTTAAAACATTTCCCATTCACTTTTCCCTAAATCTGACCCCCAAAGTACCCCACAGTTACTTTAACTCCCCTGAAATGTGGGGGATATGACAGTGGGGAAACCAGAGTAAAGAGACAGTGATAACCAATTGTAGTTAAAATATCTCATTTTTGCTAGTTTACAAAAATATTAGAAATATCCACACATTTCAAAGCCCCAGACCTTGGAAGTAGCCCCATGGCAGTGAGGAGTTCTGAAGCTGAAGATTAATTAGCTATAATCATTGTAAAACCTCCTCAGGACACCCTTATGGAGAAAGTAGAAATTCTGACTTTGGAGGACAATTTGGCCATATCTACCAAATTTAGAGTTACCTATCCTTGGATTCCACACTAACCCTTCTAATAATTCACTTTATAGAAACACTGTCACAAATGAACAAAGCTTTACATAAAGCAGTGTTCAAATATTATTCATAATACAGGATAAAATGGAAACACTCTGATATTAATAGAACACTAGAAAAACTAGTTGTGATATCTATACATGATATGCTATGTAGTTAATTAAAAGAATAAATATTTGAATATATAATGATATCAAAATTTTATTTTAAATGGAAAAAATCAATTGTAAAACAATATCCTATATGTTTCAGCCACCATGAGTTTAAATATAATTATGTTTATGTAGAATATTTCTCAACCAGCATATCATACTATATGGATCTTAGTTCTCGGGATTGGATTTAAGAGGACAGATGACTCCCACTTATATTTGTATATTTTAATGCTATTTCCTCCATTTTTTTATAAAATATTTTATTTTTATAAAAAATACTCAAGGGCCTCCCCTAGTGGCGCAAGCAGTTGAGCACAGCGCTGTGAAGCTATCTGCAACATCTGCAGCGCAAGTTTGATTCCAGCTGGCCAGGGAGAATGCCACATGGGAGGCAGATCTCTCCTGTCTCACCTGCTGCTCCTTTCAGCAGTGTATTTCAGTCAGTCTGCCTGTTCTGTTCCCCACTCTGTCTCTGGTGAATCCTCTCACCCCCCGCGCACCTGGCCTGTACCCCGGTTCTGTATGTGTGAATAAATAATCTTAAAAAAAAAAAAAAAAAACTCAAACTGCTTTTCCCAAAGCTATTTCTGTGAATTCTCATGCATAAATCTTTCTTTAGACTCATTTTTAAAAGCATTAAATATAAGATTATATCCTAGAGAATCCCTGCTTGCATATGATTTGCCCCATTTTTAGTGATTTGCTCTTATTGGGGGGTTTGTTTATGATTGCTTTATATTAGTTTTAATCTGATAACCAGAAGAACTTTAGGACCAAATCCAGAATTTGTCAGGATTTCTTGAATAATGTCTTGGTAGAATAAAAGATGGTGATGATTAGGTAACCAGAAACTATTTTAGGGTATTTTATTCTAAAAACCAGATTATAAAATGTTGGGCATCATGATCAAATAGAGGATACAAAGAAGTTCTAGCCAGTAAGTGTTTACTAATAGGTGCAAGAGACTAGAAGACATCTAGTCATCTCAGAAAAGCGTGATGGGTGTATTCTAAAACATTTGCAATAGCGTCTTCCTTAAAAAAGAGAAAGATAACTCCTAAAGAAGGATAAAATATCTATGATGCAATGTCAGTTTTGCCTGGGGAGAGAGGGGAACGTGCAGGCTTGCCTGTGAACCGTCTTTAGCGTACTTTATTAAATGATGCAAGGATATTAAGAAATCCATGATTTATCACTATTTCCTTGTCTTGGTGTTTTCTCTTCTACAAGTTTGGATTTGCCTCAGAGCTTTTTTTTTTTTTTTTTAATAAAGCTAGCTAGTTACAACATGGGTCAAAAAAATTCTAGCTTTTTGACAAATTATTTTTTAAAAAGATTCAATACATTATGCGTCTATAGCCTGACAGAATGAAAGAGACTGAAAGGATTGTTTCACAGCAGAACTGTTTGGGCATGAATGGCCCCTAGGTGTACAGGACTAGTGTTGGTGACTGGCCTAGAAACCTCTAAGGCATTACCTGAATTCAGATGTCATTAGAGAACAATGATTCTTAAACTTCACATGCATAAGAAAGCCATGAATAATTTACTGGAAAGATCCAGCCCTGCCACCACTACCACCATTGCTACCCCATGATTGAGGACCACATTTAGAAACCTACCTTAGAGTTTTGCAGAATGGCCACATACACAACGTCTTATCTACCTTCTTCTATTCTTGTCCTTGGACAGATCCAACCCCCAGCTTCTGAATTTGTAAAATGGGAACAAAAATACATGGTCTGGTAACATAACATGCCTTTGGGTTGGCATAAATAACAGAAGTTTCATGCAAGGATACACACATATAGAATTCAAAACTTTAGTTGTTGCACAACCTGATTTGGAGAAGTGGGAATTTATTTATCATTGCAAAAAATCTATCAGGGGCTTCGGGGCTCAGTAATAGCTCTCTCGGATCCAAAAGCACTTCCACATGTCAGGTGGGCTCTTGACTTTTCATATCTTCTTTTTTCTTATGATATTTTCTTACTTCAATCTGACTTCCTTCAGCTTCATGTATGATGGCATACTTCTGCCTGCCAGTTGCCATCTCTCAGAGTCTTTATACTTCTAGCCCCTCTGCCCTCTTTTTCCCTGTATGCTTCCCATGGAAGCAAAACAAGATGAGGATGACAATGAACTAGCTCAACCGTAATCTAGAAGAAAGCAATCTTCTGGCTACTGGTGAGTCAATATTTGGGCCAAACAGGTGGTCAGGTCATTGAGATAAGAGTGGCAGAGTCAGCAAGAACAAAGCATGGCAACTAAGCTTTGAAAATCCTTGAAAAATAGACTTTGGACTGGACAGGTAGCTCTCAAAAAAGGACAGGGTACTTAACCTGGAGAGCACTTTGCAAAACACTTATTCACTCAG